TTACAAAAACAAGGAACGGTCTAAATGTATCCTTTTGGGGTAAAGTTTACCAGCCCCTGAGATAGACCATAATAAACCAAGGGCAAAGGCAAGTTGAGAGAACTTTTGCAGGAATCCAAGGCAGAGCTTATGGTGGTGGTGGAAGTGGCAGGAAGTGGTCAGATTCTGGGTAGATTTTGAAGGTAGAGCCAGTGGGATTTGCTGAGGAGTCGAGTATAGCATATGAGAGAGAAAGGGGTTATGTGTGTGTTTTTAGAGTTTTAATTAGAAAACAGTGCTTAATATTTTATATTCTGTATTTGATGATATCTAGAATAATTGTCTTTTAAAATCTATTTGCAACTTTCAAGGCTGTCCTTTTTTTTTCCTTTGAACCTGTTTGACTTTGTTCTTGGTATTCCATCATAAACTGAGAACTAATAAGAAACCTAATAACTTCTCAGTCTACCGTTGTTTACCACACATTTTTTCATTAGGTTTCCCTTATGGCTGAAAGCACGTGTGTAGTTGTGGTGTGGTGTGCAGGGTCAAGGGAGAAAGCGAAATTAAGATGTTAGCATGTTAGCTTAATCTATGGGTAGTCCTAAGTGAGACTTATCAACCATATGAAAATAATATACAGAGCCTTCTTATTTTGGTAATGTGCTTTTATAAAAATGTTTAAAATGAATAATTATTGGGGAAGTACAAACTATTAGATAAGGTCTTGGACCATATGTCCTGACTTCACTATTTCTTTTACTACCATCATTCTTCAATGATGGCACAGTTATCTTCTCTCACTTTCTCTTCAGCTAATCAGTTGCTAAGAGATGCAGAGTCTGTTGCCATAGTGACCCTCACGTCTCACCTAAATGACATGTCAGATGAATTGCTGAGCCTTTTAACTAGTGGTCCACTCTGATCCACACTACACAGTGCTGTTAGCCTAATTGTTCTGAAGCAGTGGTTATCGAAGTTTCATGTGCATCAGAATCACTTGGAACGCTTGTGAAATACATCGCAAAATTTTTGATTCAGTGGATCTGAGGAGGGGCCCTAGAATTTTCTGACGGTTTTGGTCTGCAAACCACACTGTGGAAACCGCTGTTCTCAAGTCCTCTGACAATGTCATTCCTCCACCAGGAACCTTAAGTGCTGCCCTGTACCATCTGATAACTTCAGCCGAGGACTGAAGGATTCCACTCTCTAACCCGTCCTGCATGTTTCCAGCCTTTTTTCATACACTTCCTGAACGTGGCCATCTTTTCCATCTTTGCTTTTCAACTGTTTGTTCTTGGAATGTCACAGCCAATTTCTGCCCATCTCCTCCCATCTTTGTCAGTCAGAATCCTGGCCATTTTACAAGGCTTCTTTCAAACCTGACTTTCTTTTTTGAATCTCCAAACGTGTGCCATTTCTCTTTTTTTCATTTGAATCCCCATAGCATTTATACTTCTGATGATATGACCTTACTCTGTCTTAATCTATCTTCATCTATGTATCTTATCTCTGTCCTACCCTTTTATAGGAACGTGTAAGCTCCTTGAGGATAAGAAAACATATAGATGTATATGAGTATATTTTTCTGCCTTGTTCAACCAGCATTTGTAGAATTGAACCACCTTTAAAACTTGTTCCTTTTTTTCTTGCTCTTGTTAAAAAATGTTCTTAAAGTAACATAAGATTGATACCTACCTAGTGTCTTGTCGCTTCCCGCTCACTTTATCTGTTGGAGGAAACCCATCATATTTACTTCCTTCTAAGTACCTACTGACCCCTTTTCTTTGGATTAATTGCTTTCTAATTGTGCTGTTCAGCTCTAATGTTATAATTTCTGTTCATTGGACTTCTGATGCATTAGAAACCATATCTTCTTTCTTGATTTCCTTCCCAAAGCTCTTAGTTTACCTAGAGTTAAAGAAAAGAAATGCTCTGCGTAAAATGTATATCTGAAAAGTATTATATCCTCCCAATTGATAGAATTGATGGTTTTGTGCTTAGAATTCTACGGAAGGCTTCATTTCTTTTAGAACTTTCAAGTCATTACACCATCTGTGTTTCATTTTTGACTGGTGAGAAATCCAGCGCCAGTCTGTTTCTTCTTTTGAAGTTAACTTGATAGTTTCAGTTTTCTCCATTTTCCCCTTGGGGAGCTCTTGGTCATTAGCTGCTGGATATCTTCAGTTCATCATCTGTCTCCTCTCATATTTGGTATTTTCAGCCTACCATTTTGCTCTAGATTCTTGGATATGTATTCAGCTTTATCTTCAAACTATACCCGGAATTCTTTATTTCATGTAACAGATTTGTACTTTCCTTGAGGTACTTTATGTGTCTCATTTTTCTTTTTCAAGCATCTTTGTTTTATGGATGTGATATCCTCGTCAGTATGTGAAGATACTAGACATTTTTCTTAATCGTTTCCTTTAAGTAAATTACAGTTCAGTTCATCGTGGAGCATTTCTGTTTATCTTGTTCTTTCCCCTCGTGCTGATCGTTTTCTGTATATATCTGATGATTCATTCATATTTATGCTAGTTTGTATTTAAGTATCAGGAACCTGGGAACCCTCATCACTGGGGACTTTATGACTGGGGTTTCTTGATCCTTAAGTTATATTTTAAAGTAAATGAGAAGGAAACCAGTTGTTTTACTGGAGACCTTTTAAATGTGACGTTCCATCGTCCAGAATATTGCTGAGGTCTCCCATCACTGGGTGGCCTTCCTCCCATTCTCTTTGCTGTTAAAAGTTTGCTCCTGGGGCTCCCCTGGTGGCGCAGTGGTTGAGAATCTGCCTGCCAATGCAGGGGACACGGGTTCGAGCCCTGGTCTGGGAGGATCCCACATGCCATGGAGCAACTAAGCCCGTGCGCCACAACTACTGAGCCTGCATGTCTGGAGTGTGTGCTCCGCAACAAGAGAGGCTGCGATGGTGAGAGGCCTGTGCACCACGATGAAGAGTGGCCCCCGCTCGCCGCAACTAGAGAAAGCCCTCGCACAGAAACGAAGACGCAACACAACAAAACAAAAAAAAAAAAGTTTGCTCCTGGCTTTATTCCTGCTCCATAACTTTAATGAGGTCCTGGGAAACAGGACAGGAAACAAATGACTATGCTCAGTCTACTCTCTTGAACCAGAAGGCTTTGTGTTCAACAAGTTAAAGTAGTCCTTCATGGTTAAGTACTGTGAACTTATAATCTTTCACTTGACAAATAATAACTGTGTTGATAGCCTCATTCCACTTAATTCTACCCATCAAATGGGCAGAGCAATATTGAAGTTAGAGTGATGAGATAGAATTATTATTTAAGAATCCTGCTTGATCTCCAGCATCTGTATTTGACTCCAGATAGGTGGAGAGGAAACTAAACTTTTAGCCAGATGGCAGTTTATTAATTTACCATAGGAAGTATAACCATTAAGGAAACTAGAGGCTCGGGGCTAGTGAATTCTCCATGGAGGAAGGAATCTGGAAAACCAGATTTATAGTCACGTAGTTTCTAGGTGGGCCTGGAGTCAGAAGAAGGCCTCACTGACATTGGCTGGTATCATCCAGCTGAGAAAGCCTTATGTATTGTGACCGTTGTCAAGTGAGGTTGCTGTGCAGACCAGAAAATTAAGTATTGATCAGAGCATATTTTTCTTGGGTTTTGCTTGAGATCCAGAAAGTCTCTTACTGTCGAAGTTCTTTTTCTAGGTGACATTTTGATTGTGTTGATGACAGTTCAGCTAGGACAGTACACTGAAGTGAACTAGGTGTAAGGTTTCTCAGTTCTTCGGAGACCACTCTGAAGACAGCCCAGGTGATTTTGTAAAACTTCTCAGCCACTTTTTATAGATCCTTGCTTAAGGATGCTGTTTCCTAAAATAATCAACCTTTTTTTTTTTTTTTAAGCACATGTAGAATTCTCAGAAGTTCAGTTTATCTTATCACTATCCATCAGAAGTACATATTATCTCAATGACACTTAGAAAGAAACTGATACTTAGAAGTTAAATGATTCCAGAATCTCACAGTAAATATAAGTGGCAGACTCAAGAACCAAGTCTCAATTTTCTATCTCTAATATTTTCTGCTATACCCCTTAAATTACTATCATTTTATGAAAAAGATAAAGTAATAGAAAGCAGTTGTTTTATATTTTACTATCTTGGACAATTAAGAGTAATAGTAGGGCTTCCCTGGTGGCACAGTGGTTGAGAGTCCGCCTGCCGATGCAGGGGACACAGGTTCGTGCCCCGGTCTGGGAAGATCCCACATGCCGCGGAGCGGCTGGGCCCGTGAGCTGTGCCGCTGAGCCTGCGCGTCTGGAGCCTGTGCTCCGCAACGGGAGAGGCCACAACAGTGAGAGGCCCGCATACCGGAAAACAAAAACAAACAAAACTAAAAAAAAAAAAGAGTAATAGTAAATGGAATTAATTTAGAGTTTACTAATACAGTTTAAGATTGTGTCTACGTGTTATGCTAATACTTACCTTTGTACTCTCTTTTATAAGTGGGGTATAGCCAATTATTTTTATATGGTCAAGACAAATGAAATTAGGTGCATTCTTTCTTAAAGGAGCAATACATATTTTAGCATCTTTGAAATACATTAAACTTACTTAAATGTAATCAGAGCTCAACACAGATGATACTGGTTCTTAAAATAGTCACTATAAAAAGTTACTCTTTAGTACAAAACATGTGGCAAGTGCTATCTTTATTAGCCCAGTACAATTTATATATCCATAAAATATAATAAATCAATTTCCTTTAGAATTTCTGTGATTTTTGATGTTCACCAATTCTTTCTTTCCCTTTTACCCAGCTCCTGCAGTGAGATTTAACAAGACATTATTAAACTGTATGCCATTTGTTAAGTTTCAGATGAGCATACAATTTTGGTTTTTATTACGTATTTAAATTTTTTCTGCCCTCCCTTATTTGTTGCTGGTTGCTCAGATCTTTTTGTGCGTATATATTTCACATGCTGTAAATCCATTTGACAGTAATTCACTGGCATTTTACTCCCCAGAAGCTCAGATCCAGCCTTCCTTTCATCCCGACAGCTCGTGTTTTCACTTGGATTGTTTCCTGGTTTGATGAACCTCTTCCTAAGCTCAGTTGCCTCTGCCAGCCTGCAGTGCACTCATGTTATCCCCTTTGTTAAGACCATTTGGTAAATAATTCCTAATCATATCACAATAAAGCCTGAGATCCTTAGCCTGTTTCCAGTTAAGATTTGTGTGTCTATTGTATTCAATAGTAGCAAGACCCTAATCAGAAACCAAAGTTAGCACGATCATGGGCAACCATGAGAAAGGAAGTGGTGTTCCAAATAGTCCAATCTTCTCCCAGTTTTTTTGTCACTAGTCAAACAAAGAAATTGCTTTAAAATTCTCTGTGGTACATGAATTTTCCCAAATGCCCTCTCTCTGTATGCACATGTAACATAAGGATTTGTTTTATAAGTAAAGTACAAATATAGAGTTAATTAATTCTAAGCTGATTTCAAGTGAAGGTGTAACATGGTGATGACATAATGGTGGCTTAAATCAGCGCTAAGTATTGTTTTTCAAAATATATTTAAAGTAGAAGGTGCTGTTTATTATAGTTAATGAGCAAAGTTATGTTAGTGGCAGTCAGCATACATTAACAATGACATGACCAGTGGTCTAAAAAGAAACAAGAAATAAGTAGTATAAAACCTATCAGGTATATTTATAAAGGCGGCTGTTACATGAGAAACAAGTTTAATTGCACTTTCTGTTAGTTACGCATCTAGTTTGATGATGCGTGAGAACAGATGGGGGGAGGATGGTCGAAGCGGGATTTTGATTCTATTCATATGCTCCAGGTGCTTTCTTGGCTCTTTTAATCCTAACCTTTACTGTATGGCCACTTTGTCTGAAGAAAAAATTTTGTCTGAACCCCTATTTTTAGCTTTTCATTGTAAACATGCACTCTTTGGTGTAATTGGAAGTTTATGTGTCCCTGTGAGGAATAAGAGCCAGCAGTCTCCTGAACAATTCCGGATTTAGAATGTACTCCCTAAATTGAGGAATTCACATTTACTTTGAAGGCCGAACCAAGTTCGAAATACTGTAGTGTTTTAGATAGCAGTAGAAACACCTCTCTAGATCTCCTAGGTATCTGTGATTCAGGTGGGCAGCTGGGAGGTGGCAGATGGTGTATTCAGTGTGGAGTTAACACTCAAACATAAAATATATGCATGGGGATTATTAACTAAAATTCCTCTGTGGACATATGCCACTTTATACACATATAAATATAATGACACATATACATATAAAGATAACTTATAAAAGCTGTTACATATTTTTTCAACAACAAAGCAGAACACTTAACGATGTACATTTTTTTCTTATTTTAGAAGGCTTGCATCAAATCTCCAGCCTTTGAAAGTGGTAAACATGTAAAATAATGTGATAGGAAAAATATTTAAGATATGTTTTTTTGTGGTGGGGAAAATAATCAGCAGGTAGAGCCAATTTGAAATGTCACTGAGTGGATTATTAGACCCCCTGGGAAAAGTGATTTGATTCTACCTGCTTTTGCCAGCTCAGCCTTTGTCTTGTAATCCCTGTTCTGGCCTTGAAATTTCTGGTTCGCTCAAGTTCTGACCCCCCAAATACCTTTAGGTATGGAAATGAGTAATAGAACTTTTTATTTTTTAAGTTTAGAGCATTAGCAATGTTGAGAAGGTTGAATAACTTTTTAAAAACAGGTTTGTGGGCTTCCCTGCTGGCGCAGTGGTTAAGAATCCGCCTGCCAATGCAGGGGACGCAGGTTCAAGCCCTGGTCTGGGAAGATCCCACATGCCGCGGAGCAGCTAAGCCCGTGCGCCACAACTACTGAGCCTGTGCTCTAGAGCCCGCGAGCCACAACTACTGAGCCCACACACGCCACAACTACTGAAGCCCACGCGCCTAGAGGCCGTGGTCCGCATCAAGAGAAGCCACTGCAATGAGAAGCCCGCACATCGCAACAAAGAGTACCCCCCGCTCGCTGCAACTAGAGAAAGCCCTTGACGCAGCAACAAAGACCCAACTCAGCCAAAAATAAATAAATAAATGAATAAATAAATTTATTTAAAAAAAACAGGTTTGTACTTGTATAGTAGAGCTCATGTAATGCTTAAGCCATGAAAGATACTGTTGATGTTTTTAAAATAACTGTGAACAGGCATTTTTTACAGCCCGTTCCGTTCTTCATTTCAAATTGGTTATTTTTATTTAAAGGTATATGGCTGTGCAGCAGGTATCCTTTTACTGAATTATACACACTTAAATTTCACCAGATTCATTTGTATCTGTTTTGACTGTAGAGACAGAAGAATAATGAACACGTACAGAGTAGTCATGATGCTAATACCTAAGCGAGTAGTTTCCTCACTACTGGTGTGCACATAATCTTCTAAAATCTTAGGATGAGTTTTTATTGGCACACCATTTGAGCAGGTCTTGAAAATTGTATTCTTTATCATGGTCTTAGTATATCTTGAAGAAGAAAATGGACATTAACTGCCACTCTGCAACCCTCGCTTGGTCTTCAGGATGAGCCTATCAGGAAGTGTGATGACAAGCAGAGTCTCGTGGTTCAGACTTGCCCGTTCACATGGCAGAGAAGTGACCAAATGATACCTGACGTCAAGTCTGTCAGGACCAGGGCCTGGACTTGCTTTGTCGTGCTGGACGTTTAAGTTATACTTTCATTTTCGAGGCATATTCAGAGCATCTTGTTTTGACATCCTTGGAATTTTCTCAGATTTTAGTCAAACGAAATTAGAAAATGTATTATTTAGCAATATGATTTCAAAGTAAAATATCCCCTTTTTAAAAAGTTTAGTTTTTCAGCAGTCACACTGAATATGAATGCCAGGTATTCTGATGGGTACTGTGGAATATTCAGGCCAATCCAGTGGAAAAAGTGGCAAATTGAGTGCGTTGTATTACTGTGAAGCACCTTCTGTGATCGAGGGGAGAATTTGCTCTGGGGCAGAGTGGCTGACCCATGGCTTTCCTGCAGGGAGGCGTCTCTGCTGCCTGAGCTCTGGCGCCTGGTGTGAGGCCGTGATCTGGGGGCAGGGACTGTAGGACAGGAGAGAAACATTTGTCCCTCCCCTGCTGCTCGATACCTTTTTGGTTTTTCTTAGGAAGCTTGGAATATTCCTCTTAGACTTTTGTGTTGAGAAAGAGAACGAGGAATACGAAGGGGGCCCTTGGGGATCAGAGGATCCACATTAAATTGCTGTCCTGCTCGTGAGAGGAAGGTGCTTCTCTGTTAAATGGCATGTTTTCCTGCCAGAAGCAGAGGCAGCTTCTGTCCAGCTGGGCATTGAGCCATCCGGAGGGACATGCTGAACTGTAGGGGAAGGGAGGGGAGGGTTGGGATAAAATAGAACCTAATGCTACTTTTCAGAAATCCATGGGACAAGTGGTTTTCATAAACAAGTATTTCCTTAGACTTCCTTTACTAGATATATGTATAAAGGACTTCATAAACTAATGGAAACAATGTATTTGGATAAAATAGTATGGAGTCTCACTCAAGTAACCAGCCTGCCGATTTCTCTTTAAAAGTTACTTTTTGTTTTTTTGAAGGAGAAAAGTAAGTGATTTCTTTTTAAATTCAAGCTATAATGCTATCTAAAATTCAGACAGTAAGCAAATCAGTAAATAATGATTTTTCTGTATTTCTTTATAAGCAGCGGCCATTTTTTCAATAGCATTCTTAAAAAGAAAAAAAAGCTCAAAAAAATCTCTCAGTTGGATTCTTAGAAAAGAATGCTAACCACATCTGATTACTTTCTTCATTCTTCATCAGGAAAACTTTGTTTTGTTTTAGGATGTGTCTGGCATTCCAGGTTAAAATGCTTTTTCTATTTCAATTACACTGAACTAGCCAATATAATTTTTTACACCTAAGAGCTGGGGTTACATTGGTGGCATTCACTTTTAAAAATATGTCATATTAGTTGATAATTTAAACTATATTAAGGTGATTGCAAGAGTGGGCTTTGGAGATAGGCCTAGATTTCAATCTTGTCTCTAACACTGATAATTAGTCTTGGTTAATAACCTTTTAGGTCAAGTATTAATAGTCTATTTCAAGAGAGAAACTACCTCACCCTAGTCCTTTATTTGCTTTTATAGATCAGTGTACTGTCACCCGGACCTACCTGTTCCTTCACAAGTTCTGGTTCTTTAGTGCCGCCTACTACTTTGGTAACTGGGCCTTTCTTGGGGTAAGTACAGGTGTCCCAGGGATGCTGTGACCATTAGTGGCCTGTTTTGGTCACAGCAATGCTATTGGGTTTTAAATTTGGTGCTTTCTGGATGACTTCAGGTTTGAGAAATAACATACAGCTCGTTTACATTTGCAGGTGTTCGTGATTGGGTTGATTGTCTCCTGCTGTAAAGGGAAGAAGTCGGTCATTGAGGGGGTAGATGAGGCTGACTCAGACCTGAGTGATGAGGAACCCTCTGTCTGACGGCTTCCGTTGCACAGGTTTACTAAGCTGACTCTGCATCTCTTGTGCATTTGTAAAGTGTCAAGCTAACATTAGGATGTGAACTGACTAGCTTTCATCAAAAATGGGAGCATGGCTATTAAAAAAAAAACTATATTTTTTATGTTTTCTGAAGTAACATTATTGTATCATAGATTAACATTTTAAATTGCTATAATAATACTATGTAAATATAAAAGTACCAGCCTTGTGAGGGAATGTTTGTGGAAATTTTTTTTTCCTCTAGTGTATGATAGTGTTGAATTGATTAAAAATCTTCCAGAATTAATATTCCCTTTGGTCACTTTTTTAAAACATAATAAATCACTTGTATCTGTGCCTTTGGGTCTCTAGAGTACTGTGGAATTTTCAAGTGTCTATATCTGATTGATTGTTGAAAAATAATATTCACAGTATAGCTGATAAATAAATGTTATTCCACTATGCAGCTTGTTTTCTATTTTCTACATTAAATCACTAGCGCCATTGAAATAGATTTCATGAACAGATTTCAGGCTGCTTGGTGTGCCAAGGTATATTGTTCAGACATTAGTCCATTAGATATCTTATCACCTCTACAGTATTTAAGGCATATACATTGTTATAAATAACCTGAAAAGTTGTATTCCAACATAAATGGGAATATTATCAAGAATAAGTAATCCTGAAAAAAATCAGTGTACTGATCAGTTTAAGATATATGACATCATATTTTAGCTTTAAAGATACTTTCTCATTCTAAAGATTTAGAATTTGCAAAAGATATAGGGAAAGCTATATACTATCAATAGGGTATTTTGAAGGCATTCTGGATGCTGAGATTCTAGTTTACTAACACAGGCAAATTAGAACTCATGAAAAGCACATATTTTGATCCTGGAAGTAGAATACCATTAAGTTTCTGAAAAAGACTTAGGAATTAACAACCATCTCCCATTCAGTTCATCTCTCTCTTAATTTTTGTGTCACTTTGCTCTCATTCTTTGTCTCTGGATAGACCTCCACACCCTTCATGTTTGGCACCTTTGATGTTATTCACCAAGATTCCATTCCCTTCTGTTCTTATTTCACATTTTCTTTTTGGACAATCTCATACACCCTCAGTTTCCAAACTTTTACTTACCTGTTAACTAGAAATTACTACTTCAATTACAGCATGTTGATAATTGAACTCCTCGTTTTTCTGGTCATACCAAGCCTCCTTCTTTATTCATTTTTTTGACAGATGGCACTGGCACATACCTGGTTGCCAAAACCAAAACTCAAGCAGACCTCCTTATCTCCTGTGTGTACCTGGCCCATCACTAATCAGGCCATGTTGATCTCTGCTTAACTGTCCTTCCATTTTCCCTCTTCTCCATTCTTACTGTGTTACGGACTGAGTTGTGTTCCCCTCTGCCGCCACAGAAAAACTTCCGTATTGAAGTCCTAACCCCTAGTAACTGAGACTCTGACTGTATCTGGAGATTGGGTCTTTAAAGAGGTAATTAGGTGGCACCCTGATCCAGGATGACGGGTGCCCTTATAAGAAGAGGAGGAGACATCGGGGATGTGTGTGCATAGAGAAAAGGCCACGTGAGGACCTGCAGGCCAAGGGGAGAGGCCTCTGGAGAACCCGACCCTGCCGGCACCTTGATCGTGGACTTCCAGCCACCAGAACTGTGAGAAAATAGGTTGCAGTTGTTTATGCCCCCCCGAGTCTGTGGTATTTTGTTATAGCAGCCCAAGACTTCTAACACACACTGCTTCTTAATTTCCTCACTGGGCTTTCTGCTGAGTCCCAACTCCTTTCAATCTTTCCTTGACAGTGAAAACACAAATCAGATGATGACATTTCTTTGCTGTGAAAAGCTTTCTGTTATTTCAGAATGAAATTCATAGCTTTCATGTGACATCTAAGGCCGTTCTGGTGTGTGTCCTACCTACCTATCCAGTTTTCACTGCCATCTCCACAGATGTCTCACCATTATCCAAACGGCTCTGATTTCTCACATCCCCACTCAGCTGAACTGTCCCTTCTGCCTATGACACACTTCCCTCCTCTTGTCTCCTAAGAGAATCCTTACTCTTCAGATCTCAGCCGTGATGTTATCTGGTCAGTTACCCGCCCTAGTCTCCTAGGCACAGTTAGGTGCTGTCTTTTCCCTGCTCACAGGGCTCCCTGTACAGTGTGTTGTGACTGTTACCTTCAGGGCTGCTTCCTCTGGGCTGCAAGTCCTTGAA